CCACGGTACTGTAGTGGCTAGATGCTTGTCTTATTAGGAACTTAAACGAAGCCTAAATTTTATGGGTCGGAGCCCCTGGCTAGCATGTTTACCTGTCGGCAAATCATTCTCTTAAAACCATACTAAAGAGAAAGGTCGAGGTCAAGAGATCAAGAGGTAGACAGCAATACATGTGGAAGGACAACATTCACAGAAGGACAAGCAGCCGTAGGAGAGGGTGTACAAATAAGATAAAAGGTATAGAGTGTTTAGATCTAGAGCAGCGAATCAAAGTTGTGGAAAAAATAACTGATTGATTGAAAATTCTGGTCTAAAATTTCAGCTGAAAATAAGAGTTCTCAGCTGTGTATACAAACTGTTAGTTATAAGTTAGTTAGTTGGTTAGCTAGCTAGCTAGTTAGTTAGTGAATCAGTTAATTTTTCTCATCGTACTTTGGAGAAATCCACAAGTGCTTGGATTCTATATTCAGTATGTCCATCAGGGTGTGGCAACCGATAACACCAGTGTCATGTTTGTTTACTATTTTACTTTGGCTAAATATCCAGTGTTTATGTTTGCCAATGCCTCTTTATGATCAGAAGTTCTTGCAGTCTTTTTAATGTTGCCGATCCACCGTCCTCTACCGAATCATCTACTTGTCCTGCCTCATAGAGAATACTAAGAACATCAGCTGGATCCATTGCTTTCCCTGTGCCTACCATAGCCCTACCAGAAAGCCAGTCGGCTCATTCATTCCCTCTCACCCCAGAGTTTCATGGTACATACATGAAACTGAGTATTGTCAGACTAGATTTCCTCAGAGACTCTAACCTTTGTCCTACAGTCCTAATTTTTATAAGCAAATTCATGGAATCCCTTAGAAAGCAGGCACGAAAACGATTATATGTCTCTAGCCACATCATAGCTTTTGTTATAGTGTGTGCACATCATAGCTTTTCTTATAGTGTGTGCACATCATAGCTTTTGTTATAGTGTGTGCACATCATAGCTTTTGTTATAGTGTGTGCACATCATAACTTTTGTTACAGTGTGTGCACATCATAGCTTTTGTTATAGTGTATGCACATCATAGCTTTTGTTATAGTGTGTGCACATCATAGCTTTTGTTATAGTGTGTGCACATCATAGCTTTTGTTACAGTGTGTGCACATCATAGCTTTTGTTATAGTGTGTGCACATCATAGCTTTTGTTATAGTGTGTGCACATCATAGCTTTTGTTATAGTGTGTGCACATCATAGCTTTTGTTACAGTGTGTGCACATCATAGCTTTTGTTACAGTGTGTGCACATCATAGCTTTTGTTATAGTGTATGCACATCATAACTTTTGTTACAGTGTGTGCACATCATAGCTTTTGTTATAGTGTGTGCACATCATAGCTTTTGTTATAGTGTGTGCACATCATAGCTTTTGTTACAGTGTGTGCACATCATAGCTTTTGTTATAGTGTGTGCACATCATAGCTTTTGTTATAGTGTGTGCACATCATAGCTTTTGTTACAGTGTGTGCACATCATAGCTTTTGTTATAGTGTGTGCACATCATAGCTTTTGTTATAGTGTGTGCACATCATAGCTTTTGTTACAGTGTGTGCACATCATAGCTTTTGTTATAGCGTGTGCACATCATAGCTTTTGTTATAGTGTGTGCACATCATAACTTTTGTTACAGTGTGTGCACATCATAGCTTTTGTTATAGTGTGTGCACATCATAGCTTTTGTTATAGTGTGTGCACATCATAGCTTTTGTTATAGTGTGTGCACATCATAGCTTTTGTTACAGTGTGTGCACATCATAGCTTTTGTTATAGTGTGTGCACATCATAGCTTTTGTTATAGTGTGTGCACATCATAGCTTTTGTTACAGTGTGTGCACATCATAGCTTTTGTTATAGTGTGTGCACATCATAGCTTTTGTTATAGTGTGTGCACATCATAACTTTTGTTACAGTGTGTGCACATCATAGCTTTTGTTATAGTGTGTGCACATCATAGCTTTTGTTATAGTGTGTGCACATCATAGCTTTTGTTATAGTGTGTGCACATCATAGCTTTGTTTTTGTGTGTGCACATCATAGCTTTTGTTATAGTGTGTGCACATCATAGCTTTTGTTATAGTGTGTGCACATCATAGCTTTTGTTATAGTGTGTGCACATCATAGCTTTTGTTATAGTGTGTGCACATCATAGCTTTTGTTATAGTGTGTGCACATCATAGCTTTTGTTATAGTGTGTGCACATCATAGCTTTTGTTATAGTGTGTGCACATCATAGCTTTTGTTATAGTGTGTGCACATCATAGCTTTTGTTATAGTGTGTGCACATCATAGCTTTTGTTATAGTGTGTGCACATCATAGCTTTTGTTATAGTGTGTGCACATCATAGCTTTTGTTATAGTGTGTGCACATCATAGCTTTTGATATAGTGTGTGCACATCATAGCTTTTGTTATAGTGTGTGCACATCATAGCTTTTGTTATAGTGTGTGCACATCATAGCTTTTGTTATAGTGTGTGCACATCATAACTTTTGTTATAGTGTGTGCACATCATAGCTTTTGTTATAGTGTGTGCACATCATAGCTTTTGTTATAGTGTGTGCACATCATAGCTTTTGATATAGTGTGTGCACATCATAGCTTTTGTTATAGTGTGTGCACATCATAGCTTTTGTTATAGTGTGTGCACATCATAGCTTTTGTTATAGTGTGTGCACATCATAGCTTTTGTTATAGTGTGTGCACATCATAACTTTTGTTATAGTGTGTGCACATCATAGCTTTTGTTATAGTGTGTGCACATCATAGCTTTTGTTATAGTGTGTGCACATCATAGCTTTTGTTATAGTGTGTGCACATCATAGCTTTTGTTATAGTGTGTGCACATCATAGCTTTTGTTATAGTGTGTGCACATCATAGATTTTGTTATAGTGTTTGCACATCATAGCTTTTGTTACAGTGTGTGCACATCATAGCTTTTGTTATAGTGCGTGCACATCATAGCTTTTGTTATAGTGCGTGCACATCATAGCTTTTGTTATAGTGTGTGCACATCATAGATTTTGTTATAGTGTTTGCACATCATAGCTTTTGTTACAGTGTGTGCACATCATAGCTTTTGTTATAGTGCGTGCACATCATAGCTTTTGTTATAGTGCGTGCACATCATAGCTTTTGTTATAGTGTGTGCACATCATAGCTTTTGTTACAGTGTGTGCACATCATAGCTTTTGTTTTAGTGTGTGCACATCATAGCTTTTGTTTTAGTGTGTGCACATCACAGCTTTTGTTAAAGTGTGTGCACATCATAGCTTTTGTTAAAGTGTGTGCACATCACAGCTTTTGTTAAAGTGTGTGCACATCATAGCTTTTGTTATAGTGTGTGCACATCATAGCTTTTGTTTTAGTGTGTGCACATCATAGCTTTTGTTTTAGTGTGTGCACATCACAGCTTTTGTTAAAGTGTGTGCACATCATAGCTTTTGTTACAGTGTGTGCACATCAAAGCTTTTGTTACAGTGTGTGCACATCATAGCTTTTGTTACAAAGTGTGTAACAGCAATAAGAATCACGTATACGCAACTGCTTTTTTTTAAATATTTTTTTTTTATTTGAAAAATGTAATTGTCAAGAGAAGTTCTAGTGTTTCTTGCTGGCCTTTTGAGCCTTGAGAACTCTGGCTACGACTTCCGCTCCTCAATGAGAAAAGCACGAATGATTCTTTCTCTGACAGCTTTGTGGCACAGTGATCCTCCATATGCACGACTGTCTTCTGGCGCCTGCTCAAAGCATTCAGCTTGTGGGGATGCACTGATCCCACCCCTGGAGCTTGGTCTTGTGATCACCACATATTGGTGGGGCCTTTGCAAGCCTTTTCTGGTACAAATAAACCAACTATCCACCGGGTGTCTTGAAGACCTTGCAGCTTTTGGAATTTTTGTTGTATGAGAGGTGGCGTCTAAAATTAAGTCATTGAACCATCTTGCTCGATGTTATTTCCAATTAAAAAAAAGGAATCTGAAACAATTCATCATGTGATTCGTATACAATATTCTTGAATTAGTAGCTCCTTGTGGGGGTTCTACCCCCCCCCCACCCCCCCCATGGGGTTGGGGAGGGGAGATTACACTCACTGTTCCCTAACAAGAATGTTGTAACAGGCTACTAATTAGAGGTTTGCTAATACCAAATGTGTTGGGGGAAAGGTGCAGATATCACAGCCTAGCTATAAACTACACCATAATGTGCCAACCACCATTTTAAGGGTAAACGAAAAAGGAGAAGAAGAAGCAATTATGGGCTCCCTCGCAGAATATAACCAGGACCCCCCCCCCCCCCCTTTCTTGTCCCCCAGCCCCCCCCCCCTCAGTCAAGCCCTCATGCGAGCACTAGAATGGGGAAAACCGAGGATGAGCAAGAAATAAATTGCGTAGAACCATCATCACATCATCACATCATCACATCATCACATCATCACATCATCACATCATCACATCATCACATCATCACATCATCAGGAAAGGTTCAGCGATGGGCCTAATCAACATCCAAGACCTAAAACAGATGGCAACGAACCGCCAGACATTGAGAGCTTTGACCTTTGCACTGCCCCTTAGCTCAAGAGGAAAGACTGTCCGTTAACGAACTGACATAGTGTATAAACTCTGTCATTTGTCTTCTTCTTCTTTCGCTTTCCTGCCTTTGCAATGAAGGCTCGCAGAGAGGAGTTACACGAATTTCCTGCCTTTTCCTTGTTATCTAGATTGTAACCTATTTATGACCCTTTTGAATTTTTGTTTGTTCCTTCGTCATACTGTGTTTCTGTAGTGTCTCTTTTACTCTCTGTCTCTCCACCCATGTCTTTCTTGGTCGGCCTCTTGACTTGCAGTCTTCTGTTTTCCTGTAGTACGCTCTAGCTGCTGGCTGATTTCTCCTAGATGACCAAACCAGTTAGTTATTGGGGCTCTAACCATGTCATGAACTATGCTGAAATGCCCAGGTACTGCGGTGATAACACAGGACAAGGCTGCTCTCTGGACCGATGGCAGGTATTTCGTGGAGGCTGAAGACACTCTCGATTGTAACTGGATTCTAATGAAGACAGGTAATCGTTCTTTGTTGCTTGGTTATTCTTTCTATCTACCTCTCTCATTCTCTCACACCGTATGTCCCTATCTCCAAATATATCTTGATGTCTACTATATCCCCCCTCTCTCCCCTTCTTTTAATCTCTAATCTCTCCCCCTCTCTCTTTCTCTTCTCTCTCTCTCTCTCTCTCTCTCTCTCTCTCTCTCTCTCTCTCTCTCTCTCTCTCTCTCTCTCTCTTTATCTTCATCTCTCATAATCTCTTCTAATATCAACTCACGTGAAATGTTGACATTACTATTATTTTGCATTATTCCTCAAATATATAGACACACCAAGGTAGAAGTACTTTGTGTGACCTTTATGGGTGGTCCAGTTATAACTTCTTAGCAGGTGAACGAGGTTTCTAGAATTCACCCTGTTGGATTGGCATCCAGGATGTAACACTTTAAGTCACATAGGTACTAAACCTCCAAGTAACAGCCAGAAGAAGAAAAAATTAATCAGTCGTCAAAGTTGATATAGACTAAACATGTTTGTTTCTGAGTTCAGCCTTAAGAACGATTAACATGTTGTGTTGTAGTTCACATAGATTCACATAATATCATGGAAAAAAGAAGAGATAAAATACTGACATCTGAAAAGATCTGAACGTCAAGGAAGACTGGCTAATAGATAGTATCTTGACTGGAAAGCTGAAATATTTTGGTCATATCAAGCGCCATGGCGGATTGGAAACTATAACAGCAAAAGGCATGAGGCCAGGAAAGTAGTGTATAAGTCGTTTACAGGTATTATTTGGCCTAAGCCGCCTTCTTTATTCTTTGTAAAAGATGGCGGCCAAATCAGCTTGGTCTGTTCTGGCGGCTGTTCTTTATCCTTAGTAAATATCGATCGGGCGGCTGAAGACGGCACGCGTGCTTGGTTTTAGGGAAAGGTATAGGAAGTCGATACTTTGTAGGCATTATTATCTTCATAGCTGCAGGTGACAGGTGGCGTTATATAAATGGTGAGGTCAGGAACGCTATTTAGGTGAGCAGCGGGGGGCAGGTGGGGCAGGGGACCCGGGGAGACAGGGCGACTAATAGAGTTGGTGGGGGTTTATGTGGGTGTCTGTATATGTGATTGTATGAGGGGAGCCGTTTGAGACTTGCGATAAAGAAAAACTAGGAAGGCGACGTGGTGACCGGGGATATATTAGAAAGGGCGGTTCGAGAGCCATCATCATCATCTATGTCATGGGAGCGAAAAGTCGATCGCTCATGGAGGGTTTGAGCTGTAGTAAAAAGGAGAATGTACGACAGAATGCTGGGTGTCTGGTAATACTGTCGAGGGTCGAAGAGAAGGGGCATAATTGGCAGACTATCTGACTTTATAAATAAGTGGGCGAAGGTTCTGATTGGTCAGTAGGCTTTTAGTGGTTATTCTGCTGGAGCAGTCGGTTTAGAAAAACTCGGCAGTTGGTGTCGCTCAAAAGGGTACGCCCGCCCGCCCGTACGCACGCACGCACGCACGCCCGCGGTGTCGTTTCAGGGGATAGATACAGAAACCTAGGAAAGTGGTTTGATGGTAGGGAGAAAGTGGGCCTGGGTCGCTATCATCATCATCCGTGTCGTCGCAAACTGTCCTTTTCTTAGTAACGTTAAGCAGTTTAAGAATAGTTTTCAAATCGATAAAAGTAGCTGTTTGGAAATAGACACTATCATTATAAGTTATGGACCCGAGGTGGAGGCATCCCTTTAGCTCTCTGATAGCCGGACCTACCGGTAGCGGTAAAACTGTATTTGTGCAGAAGTTTTTAAAACATTTGAACGCTGTGGTCGACCCGGTGTCGGAGGATATTATTTGGTGCTACGGGGAATGGCAACCTCTGTATGACAACATGGAGGGCGTCATCTTTAATGAAGTTCTTCCGGATATGGAACAATGGCAGGGAGATAGACGACGTCTAGTGGTCATAGACGATTTGATGTCTGAGACGGACGACAGAATCACTAAACTATTTACTAAAGGCAGTCATCATCGCAACATCAGCGTGATTTATATTGTACAAAATCTTTTTGGAAAAAATAAAGAACAAAGAACTATCAGTTTGAACGCGCATTACCTGGTAGTTTTTAAAAACCCTCGTGACGGTTCACAGATCACCAACTAGGCCAAACAGATGTATCCCGGCCGCGTTTCCTACGTCCAAGAAAGTTTTAAAGACGCGACGGCTATCCCCCACGGTTATTTGCTGTTCGACTTCCGACAAGACACCGCAGACCCGCTCAGACTACGCAGCGAAATATTCCCCCACGAGAAACGAGTAGTGTACGTACCTAAATAATGTCTGACAAGCTAAAGCGACACGGCGAGATGCTGCGTTTTTTGTGCGAGGCGAAAGCCAACACAGCCAAAGACATCATAAAAACCGCCTCACCGGAGCTCATACAGACACTTTGTGAATGTTGTCACAACGTATTAAAAGGTAATGTCGCCCTGACATCCGATCAGAAGAGCCGTTTGTGTCGTTACAAAAACAACCTCAGAGCGCTCACCAAAAAGAAACTTTCAATCAAAAAGCGAAAAGAGATTTTACAACACGGTGGGTTTCTCGGGGCGTTATTAGCGCCAATACTAAGTGTGGTAAAAGGTATCTTGGGTTTCTAACCATGGCCAAGAAAATGATATTGATCGACCCGCGTATGATGGACTCTGTGTTTCAAAGACAATATGTACCACCCGATACAGTCAACGAAAGCCTACGTGATTTGGATACTCATATGCAACATGTCCTGGAAAATGAAGAGCTGTCGCCTCGGGACAAATCCCGACTATATCAACAGACATTACAACGTTACTTGACTCGTCTGGATCATTACCGACACAAGTCATTGGGCGTAGTGGATATTAAAACGCCCACAGAAACCCTACCGTCGCCGCCACTACCAGTAACACTAAAAACAGAAGACAACGAGTCAGTGAGTCATTCACCGTCGCCGGCTAAAACTGTCAAGAAGACAGCTGACTCTGAGACACCACCGGTCTCGTCGTATAAACTGAGACAAAGAAACAAAAAGTCTAAAATACCTACACCAAAGTGGGAACAATGGCCACGCAACTAAAAAAACTTTACTATGATCCGAAACAACCGGGAGCCTATAGTGGGGCTGTAGCCTTAAAACGACACGCAATAGTGCCAACTAAACAGATCAAAGATTGGCTCAGTCATGAAGATACATATACCTTACATAAACCTATACGGCGACATTTTAAGAGACGTCCGATTATAACCGGTGGACTCAACCAACAATTCCAAGCCGATCTGATAGATATGAGATCTTTACGAAAAGACAACGACGGTATGGCGTACTCGGTTACTTGTATAGACGTGTTCAGTAAATATGCTTGGGCCATTCCCAAAAAAAAAAAAAAAAAAACAACTGGAAAAGCTTTAGCGGAGGCGTTCAGTAAAATATTTACCGAGCGGCAGCCAATGAAACTGCAAAGTGACAAAGGGTCCGAGTTCCTTAATCGGACGTTCTTAAAGTTTCTTAAAGACGAGGGCGTGCATTTTTTCACGACAGAAAATGAAGATGTTAAAGCGGCGGTGGTGGAAAGATTTAACCGCACCTTGAAAGAAAAAATGTGGCGTTATTTCACTAAAACCAACAAGCACCGTTATATCGATGTGTTGGAGTTCTTTTTGCGAAATTACAACCATTCTTATCACCGCAGCATTCGTATGGCTCCCGTGGACGTTAACCGGCGTAACCGAGAGCAAGTATGGCAGACACTGTATTCGGATGTCGACAGCCCCGGCACACCTGTGTTTAAAGAAGGTGATCGTGTGAGACTCGCGCAGGCCAGGCAGACATTCAAGAAAGGTTATATGGCTTCCTGGACCGAAGAGCTGTTTACCGTCAGCCGCGTCAACAGAACCAGCCCGGTAACTTATGTGCTAAAAGACGATTCGGGTGAGGAACTCCGCGGGTCGTTTTATAAGGAAGAAATACAGAAAGTTGGCGACAAAGAAATTTATCGGGTGGAAAAGATTTTACAAGAACGACGAGGTGCCCGTGGTTGTAAAGAATATTTAGTCAAGTGGTTTGGTTATCCGACTTCATTCAACAGCTGGATAGCAGACCAACAACTAGAGAGGTACGAAAATTAGTGTTATAGAAGCCGTTGATGAAGTGGATGAAATTACCATCTTTGCAACAGAAACAGAAGCTGACGGTAAACGACCGTGGTTCAGTAAACTACGGCCGCGACCTGAGGTTGTTTTCATCTCTCAGATGGTGATTATATACATCGTCATCAGTGTATCACTATTCAATCTGACGTACGGCTCGGCGAGTGAGGCAGAGGGAAAATTGTGGATCGTGCTCTTGTCTAGTTGTTTGGGTTACCTATTACCGAATCCGAAAATAGAGACGTTCTTAAAGCAACCATGAGTTTTTACGTGACGCTACCCAGCAACGCCTCGCCAAAAATATTTCCCGACAATAAACCGGCTCACTTTTTCGTCAAACTGCCGCAGACCATCGAATTGAGTTCACAGTATGAAATCGGCCTTGCAGAGATTCAATTTCCCAGCAGTTATTTTAATATCCTGGAAGATGACATCTGGATCGAATACACCCCACCCAAGGACAGCAAAAAGGTAACTCAGAAAATTACATTACCGGCTGGTGTCTACAAGACAGGTGAAGATTTTATCGATGCTTTGAATCTACTGCTTTTAGAAAACGAGGAGGGTGGTGATGCGATATTGCGAATCCATTATAACAAGTACACGAAAATGGTCGTCATGAAACTTTACGAGAAAGGCGCTCAGATTGTTATATGCGAACTCTTGAGATCTATTTTAGGCCTCACCAACCTGTGTCTGACCAACACTGACATACCACTAGTCGGTGATTATGAGGTAGATATCGATAGCGACATGAGTAATGTCTACGTCTACTGTGATCTCGTCGCGGCGAGACCTGTGGGTGATGTCATGGTTCCCTTATTGCGTACCGTCCCTATTAT